TCAATCGCACGCGAAAACCAAGGCACCGGAACACACAAAGTGAGGAGAAAAAACGAAAACAAACGGAAAGAAAGACGAAAGGAAAAGAAAAACGAAAGAAAGAAAGAAAAGGGAATCGAAGAAATAAAAGGCGAAGAAAATGTGTTCTCCAAGTAAAAGGCGGGATATGGATGTCATGAAGTTGTAAGTTTATTATTATTAATTATTTTATGAAGGAATTTCCTTTTCTATTAAAACTGTTTTCTCTAATAAATTGATAACGATATTCGTGATTATTTCCCCTTTTTTTTTCTCATCTATTCGTTGTAATTTTGCATAGACTAGATCAGAATGAGAAAGGCTAGTAGTTTTGGGAAATTTCACAATTGACTGCTGCAAATCTGATTGATCTATGAATGACAAAAGATGTTCTTTTTTTGCATTCGTAAACACAAAGGGTGTGCACATAATGATGCAGCATTCATGAGTTGAATTGGTTCTTAATTAAGTTTCCACCTTGGGTATGATGATGATGATGATTATTATTTTGAAATTGTGCGAATCATTTTTTTTCCTTTTTTTATTTTGTAGGATGATGAGTGATTACACAGTGGAAACTATCAACGATGGTCTGACGGAATTCAATGTTAAGTTTCACGGTCCTAAAGAAAGTATGTTCCTTTCGTCACTCTGAGCATTCTGTTGACATATATGTCTACATTCGATGATTTTGTATGCTCAAATTTAGTTCTATTAATTATAATTTCTTATGTTTCAGTTATTTTAAGTCTCATTTTTTGTTGGTGAAGTATGCGCGCCGTTCAGCTTTCTTGTTCTCACAATGCAAACATTTGTTGATGCGGAAACTATCTTTGTGTCAAACGATCGCATTCAGCTGTTCGTCCACACCTCTGTTGCGCTTGTGCAATAGCCCCGTTTAACTGCTATTAATTTGATTTCGAGTAGATTTGGTCTTTTACAGTTTGATATCATGCTACTTGTGCAATAGCTGCAAGTTTGAGCGTGAATAGATGGGGATGATGCTTGTTGTTTACGGCTGTTTAGATCCCCCCCCCCACCCCACCCTCCACCCCACCCACCCACACATCTGCCAAGCGATGCGAACTTGGAGAAAGAGATTAAATATTTTATCTATTTCCTGGATAAATGAGTAAAAGACTGACCCAAATAAAAATACTAATCCTTATGTTAGTTTTCTACTCTTTAAAGACCCAATCGTACTCACTACCATGGCTAGTATTAAACATTTAGCTCAAAATAATTAACTTGCACACTTCTAAAGAATTACTGAACATTTGGCCATATTGTTGGTTTGTGCTAAAACTGTAAGTCAAACTAAATTTTGTTAGCATAAGAAGGTGGAAGAATTTAAGATGTCCAGGTGCAAGAATAAGACAATATTTTTTTTTAAATATAGTAATACACATACCTTCTACTCCTTAGTGACAACGCATCACAAAATGCTTTGCTTGCTTTAAGAGGGTCTATGAATCAGACTATGGGAGCTCAACTTTTGTGTTTGCAACAGGAAGCAAACTGTAACCCAGTTTCTAATTGAATTTGTGATTTTACTCATACTATAGCTCAGTCAAATGAATGTTTAGAAAATGAAAGGTAGCTCCAGGAACCCATGCATCTATCCAACACGAGCTGCCTATCTGGAAGGTGGATCACCTTAATCCTCCTAGACAGCTATTTATCAAAATGTCTTGATGACTGAAGACCTTAAGCAGGCTTAGGTGCCTGCTTGAGTCTACAAAGTCTAATTCTAATTAAGAATCCCTTGGAGGCGATTATATTTAAAGTTAAAACATGAAATGTGTCCATATGTGGAGGACGATATAATGTGCTTTTGCATTGTCTTGATTGCATTCGAAAGCCGTCTGTAGACTGCATTTCAAATTTACACTGACACACTTGTCTGCAGTAATTTCCATTGTCTTTGTGGAATGATGAGCTCTGAGGCTAGATGCTTGAAGAAATACTAGATGCTATCAGAGCAATTTTTTGGCAGATTTTTTTTCTTTACAATTTTCTTTTGACTTTTTTATAGACATTAAAATTCCACATCTGAAGCTTATAAGATGCATAAATAGGGATGACTGATTTGATTATGGATCTTATTGTATTTTGGGCCATGCTTTATCGTGATGAATTTAAGCACAGATGTCCAACTTTCATATTGTGATGTGATGCACTCTTATGTTGTTCAATCAACACTCTTATGTTTTGGTGCTTGCAGGTCCTTATGAAGGAGGGGTCTGGAAAGTCCGCGTTGAACTCCCAGATGCTTACCCATACAAGTCACCATCTATTGGCTTTGTGAACAAAATATTTCATCCGAATGTTGACGAGCTGTGAGCACTACTCACTTTTACGTAATAAGTGCAGTGTAATATGCTAAGAACATGAAATTAGGCCCTTCTATCAAATCACGAGAATCTTACTAGCTAAAGCAAACTTAAATTCTGTGAATTTCTTACTTGTTTGGGAACCTGGGGGGAAAGCTATCCTGTATCATATTCTTGGATGTTATATTGCTGTACATTCAATTAGTGATATTTATATTATAGTTCATTATTATGATTATTTTGTTTTTGGAAGCAAGATTTCACTGTTCAATTGTGTTTGCACTGGTTAGCTTCTGCTGCTTTTGATTCATCTAATGGATTTACAAAATTACAGGTCTGGCTCTATATGCTTGGATGTAATTAATCAATCATGGAGTCCGATGTTTGGTAAGACCTACTATTGGATCTAGCATGCTCACTATGACCATATAAATTGTGTTTAACTTTATATTGTGAAAGCAAGGGAAGGAAAAAAGAAAAGATAGAAAGTTGGTACCCAACTGAATTGAAATAAATAGTTTGTCACATGATTTGGTTGTTTACTTGTTTTCTTCCGTTTGTAACAATGGATTAACTTGAACTCGTGTTAATAAATGATAGAAACTTCTCTCAAACCCAACTTAGAATAAATAGTTTATCACGTGATGGTTGTTTTTTTCCATTTATAACCGTGGACTAGTAGGTTGAAATCAGGGATCAGAATTCAATGTGGATATGTTGTGCAGGGATAGTGCTTAATGTTTAGCGGAGGTGGTAAACTGAGTATTGACAGTGTCAATTAGTTTCTTATAGTCCTCATGAAATTAATTTTTGGTGTTAAGATGCAGAATTGAAAAGTTAACTTGTGCATCAGCGTGAACCAGAGAATAGATTTTATCTAGTAAATATGCTCATCATCCCATATTTTCACACGCACAGGGGCAATTTCAACATTTTTGTAAAGTGGCGTCACAACATTACAACATTCTTAATGAGAGTAAAAAATTACATTTATTCTCGATGAGTTTTCAAATTTCCAAAAAAGCACATAATCGTATTATTAGTAAACTATCAAAATATGTTTTTCTCAATGTCTCTAGGCAATCATTGAGCCAATTATTACCATTTCATTCTGCTTCTTACTCTTTGTCAACTTCACCGGATTCTAAGATCGGATCAGCGTGGATCTTTTTTAATGTTTTAATGGATATAATTGGAATGGGAATGAATGAAAATGTTTGCTAGGATGAATAAAATAGAGGTTTAGCAGCTTTGGCAAAGTGGGGTCACATGACCCCACTTTGTCAAAGGTAGATCTGCCTTTGCACACACGCACACACACACATGGTATTTGTGGAAAGATCTCATCTGCCTAAGCAATGTACACCTTGCATTCTGGCTCTTCTATATTCACACTTTTTTTAATCTTTTGTTCTCCCTTCTCACCATAGTTGCATTTTCTGCAGATCTTTTCAATGTATTTGAGGTGTTTCTTCCACAGCTATTACTTTATCCAAATCCGTCAGATCCATTGAATGGTGATGCAGCATCCTTGATGATTAAGGACAAGCAACAATATGAGCAAAAAGTAAAAGGTATATTCATTCTGAAAGGTTCCACTCGTCTATGTTCTTCTTCTTCTTGAAGATTCCACTCTCCCTCCCTCCCTTCCTCTCTCTCTAATGGTGTGTTTGGATGAAGGGTAGAGGAGGGGAAGGGGAAGGGAAATTTGGATTTAACCTTGTTTGGGAGTTCTATTAGGAGGGTAGAGGAGGGGAAGTTAGGGAAATTTTGCACTAAAATCTTACCCCAAATTGGGGGGTAAAGGAAGGGAAGGGAAGGGAAGGGAAAGTTTATCCTTCCTTCCCTTTCCTTAGTGATCTCCCAAACAGGACATAAAGGGAAGTCCAAACCTACCATTCATTTATAAGAAATAGGTACGAGGAGAAGTCCGAATTAGAATGTATATGCAGTATTCCTTCGTGACCATTTTAGTCATCTGAGCAAGAATTTGAGTGCTTTGCCATTGATACACTAGCTCTCTAATTAGTCATTTGAAAGGAAGTGAATACTACAAATCATGCAAGTTATTTTAGTTGCAGGATGTTAGGTAGTCATAATTCTACTATTACAATAGTGGTCTGAACTCTTCATTTTTTAAGTTATTGAGTATCCCATAGACTGTTATTCGGTAGTTTTATGAATGCAATTTTTGCAAATGCATGTTTTAGATCAGAATACGTAGAAAGAAGCTCAGAACACATAGAAACAAGCTCAAATGATACCTGGCTGTCACGCCCCGATTCCAAAGTGTAATAATTTGGAACGTAACTCGGCTGACAATGCAACCATTCGGCCACATTCACGCCTCTAGATCATATTGTATATAGATATAAAGTCAAAACTACACCACAGAGCATGTAACTAAGATAATAAAAGAAATATATAGATGAAGAAATCTTTAAAAGGACGGAGTCCAACTACAAGTTTACAACTATCATAATTGGAAAGGATAATAAAAAAATTACATCACAGTCTAAAAAAAGTCGCATGTGGCTCAAGAGAAAGTCTAAACTAAATAACTACCTACACCAACTGGCAACTGAACAGAAGAACTGTAGAACTAAAAGGTGATGACTGCCACTGGACTTGCTCCTCAAAATATTCTCGGTCCTACGAAGAAATAACAGTTCTCAAGTCTGGGGTGCGCAAACCCTAGGGGAGTCAGAAAACTCCCAACAAACATGTAAAATGAAGGAATTGTGTAAGTGTATGTAGCAGATATAAAAAAAAGATAAAAACTCAATTAAAGATGATAAAAGAAAATGCTAATTGTAGATATCATATAAGGTCTACCACAAGGCATACAAGCACATTATTATTATTTTAGGTGTTATTTGAATTAGAGAATAATATTTTTATGTATATAAATCGAGTTCCTATAAACCGTCCCGAGAACAATGCTTCAAGTCATGTATTGGCCCTTGGCCCTTATATATAACACAGGATGTCAAGATTGTGCATGAGTCCGCTTATATACACTTTATATTTTCCGTCCAAATTCCCTTTATTAAACCCCACATTTATGTATTTATTTTAAGTGACTGTATATGAAATGTTGCTCACTAACCACAAAGCTAACATGGAACGGCTTCCGTAAAACTATAAAAAATAATCGTGACCCAGAACATGTCCAATCAAGATAGGAACATAATCTAGTCGATGCTATTATATAATAGTAATAATCAAGAGAAAATCCTCACATCAGGATATCGATGTCGAGGGTGTAGCCATGCTATGATAGCACGCTTATGAATCATATTTTTAACGGAAATCATCTTCATGCACAGTCGGTCCTAATAAATGTCACTAGATGATCGAATATTGCATCATGCACAGTCGGTCCTAATAAATGTCACTAGATGATCGAATATTGTATCAGGTAATCTAGTAAGCATCAAGAGATCAAACAATATCATCATTTATCTTAACAAGAGGGAAAATAAATAATTAACATACTTGTTTAGTGTCACAATGGGTGAAACAGGTTTGATTTGATAGCCTAAATCTACAAAAATGGTTTTTAGTGAGCAAGGGCCCAAACGGGTTTGAAATTTGAGTTATAGACCCAAACGGGTCTGGTATTTGATATTGGACCCCAAGTGAGTTGGGTTTTAGTTTGAAAACCGATCCAAAAAAAATTTTGTGAAAAAGGAAGGCACTAGGATTCGAACCAAGGACTAAGGACTGATTGTAAGTCCCTTAACCACTATCCCCAAACACTTGAGCTGCCAACATATCTACAAAAATGTTGACATCTGCCACCTGCGGATTTTCTAAAGGAAACAGAGGAGTATGTGAAAATTAAAGCTAACGACAAATAAAAAAAATAATGATGGCTAAGAGACTTGAACCTGTGACCTAGGGTGTATAACCAAGCCACCTAACCACCAAGTCTAAGGTTCCTTTATATTGGACAATGGTTGTGCAAAAAACTATATACACAAAACTTTGGGTTATTAGTATTGAAAATTAATTTAAATTAAAATCCTTTGCCTACTAAAATATTTTGAAAACATATAATTCAGTTTGTACAAAATATCATATCCGAAATTTATATAAATAAACTATTCTTATTAAATAAGCAAACTTAGTTAGAAAATTTTCTTTTTCTTAGGACCCAAAAAAATAGGAACATGAACTCTTATTGAATAGTTCATCAAATAACCCTAATTATTTATCTAGCAAGAGATACAAATCATGAGGTCATAACATATAATATCATGATGTCAACTGCAAAGGAGTTATCCAAGTGCATAAGGTTATCTATTCTAGAATATGGACCTAACTTATGCATGAACTTGCAAGAGAAAATAAACCTCAATTACATGTATGCTTAATGAAGACTAACAGATAAGCTTTACACTAGCAATCAAGGTATGGATCATAAAAAAAACTACAAGGAAAATGTACCTATACGTGATTTAGAAAACATACAATAAACAACTAAGCCTATAAATCAAATAAAAACTAATATAAAATTCAACTAAGAAATCTTAAGATGAAGGGAAAACAAATGCTTGCCAATAAGACTGGTATTTGGATGACAATGAGATCCCCATTCATTCCTCTCCTAGCCTCTGCGCTTCTGTGTTTTCGATCACTAAGAAATTGAACTGATTGCATTTTTGTTCTCTATCTTGAAGGAGTTTGTGATGGTAGAAGATCAAAGAAAAAGGCTTATCAAGTAAAGATTGGGTTTGTTAGACTCTCTATAACCGAAGAGATTTTTTTTTGTTTAGGATCTATGAGGATTTTTTTCCTTTTATTTTATTTTTGGTTACAAGAAGACTATGGATTACTCTGTGGTTTCTCTAATGGCCCGTTTGGATAATAGAAGTATTGGAAGTAAGAAGTATGTTATAGAAGTAACTTTCAAAACTATGAAGTAGGAAGTAGTGGAAATAGCACTTTTTTTGTTTGTTTTATATATTTTTAGAAGTAATGAAAGTAGAACCTCTTTATCTTTCATTTACTTTTTTTGTTTGGATAATATTTGGAAATATTACTAGAAAGTAACTAACACATGTTGCTTCCACAATTTTAAAGCCACGCAACGCTCTTTAATTTGATCTAGCACGTTACAACCAACTTCATGCCGCTATGACCCTTTCACCACTTGAGAGCAAGAAGAATCCTTCAACCATATAGTTTCAAAATGAAATTTCCTCTCTTCTTTGGACAAGTTTGTGCACCAAGAACAATTGGAATATGATCTGGAGCGAGAGCATGATTTGTGAAAACCCAGGTGAGCTTCAGTAAAATAGTTCAACCAAACACTATTTCTGACAAAATGGTCAAGTCCTTCCTGTACAATGACACCACTACTACTCTTCCCAAACCATGTACACGTATTACCATTAAATCCAAGGTCAGGAAATCACGATCATTCAAAAGTTGTTAGAAGTTGTTAGAACTAATAAAGGAAATATTAATAAAAAATTTATTTATTTCCTAATTAATATGCATTTCAACTACTTCCGAGCTACTTTTGAGTATTGAGGATTGGAAAATTATTTTGGAAGTAAGGATGACACGTAGGCGTCACATAAGCGTTTAAGGAAGTATTGGAAGTAAGTTTTTCAGAAAATCAAACATACTTTTTTGCTTGGAAATGGCAGAAGTAGCCTCTACTTCTTTTACTTCAGCTACTTCATAATTACTTCCGTGCAAACAAACAGGTGGACATGGTTAGTTGAGATATCCCCTAGAACTAAGGTCATTGTTAATGGGCTTATTGGGCTAGGGTTAACAACTAATGGGCCCTTACCATGTCTCAAGCATAAGTTAATCTATAAATAGATTTATCCTCTAATCTATTTTGCATGCAAAAAAAATCTCAGTCATTACACTGGCTGATATGATTAGTGACATGAAAAATGTAATGTTGGATTACTTCATCATCTGGACTTTTGATAGTGTGATTAAATGCATTGTTTTGTCACTAAAAGCTTAGGGAGTTAAGAATAACCTGATAGTCCATATTTGGGCATGAACCTTGGAGATCCTCTAATGGTACAAGGAAAGGAAATATATGCATCGATACTAGCCATATGAAAGAACTTTTTGTTCACAATGGATAAAACCTTGAATATCTGGCCAATAGATACTCCACTACAACATTCTTCCTTGTGGATTACCTAAAAAGGATAATGTGTACTCATAGTTAGTCTATATCAAAGGAAGATTGCTCATTGATAGTGAGTCTAATTCAGACTGCAACAAGAACGAACGAGTTCAGCTTGGTGATAGTTGCACATAGATAACTTAGAGGGTGTTTGGTGGACCTTTATTTCTGCTCAAAGTAGTTTTTAAGCTAGCTTTTTCATATCTACATGTTTTGTGACATCTCAAATAAGGTAGCTTTTAAGCCTTATTTAAAAAAGCTAATGGGTTCCACAATTTTTCAAAAACTAGCTTATAAGCTCATCTAAATAAGCGTCAAAAAATAAACCCTCCCAAGCACCCTCTTAATACTTATATCAGAAGCTTATGCTTTGGATATCTTGTTGGTAATAGATGGCAATCACAACCAGTACCTCATAGAGCCCCATCCCTTGGTGGACTACTATCAACTATACCATCTTTTCATCAAGAAGAAGTATATTACATGTTGAGATTTTTCTGGCATCAGGAATTGTATGAATTTTGTGCTTCATCATGGGCAATTTCTCTTGTTGCTATATATACTTTTCTTAATCAACAGATTTTAAAGGTGAATAGAGGTTTGTATGGGTGTAACTTTGTCAGGTTTAGGTTAATAAAATCAAGGCTATTATAGGTGTCATGACCAGATGACAAGTTTGTGCCTCTACCTTCGCTTGTTTAACTTGGTCAAGGTTGATTGTTGTTACATGTGGATGTTAGATGATTGATGAATGTGTTCATTGTTTTCTTTTCTGTACGTGCGTTTGAAGTATTTTTTTAGCTTCTATTTAGCATCATATACATTTTCTTGGTTATGTTTGAAATGGTGTCCAGGTTTAAATATATTGCTGGGTTCTACAGGGTATGTGTGCAATGCTTGATGATTACTTAACAAGTGTTATCACCTGGATTTCTAAAATGATGTTAGAATACAGAAACCTGAGTAAAAATTAAGTTTCTAAAATCATCATTTATGGCATAGGCATCCTCTCATTTATCCCCAGCCCAAACTCTCATAATTTGAAGAAAAAAAATGTCACAAATTCGTCATTTATGATGCAGGGTTCTTCTCGTTAATCCCCCAATCTACCCTTTTATAATATGAAATATATACAATCTTGGACTTCTGTAAGCCTCCCAACAAAATCTGAGGTCTTGTTATATTTCTCGAGGACAATGCATTATGAAACTCCTGTGTTCATTTTTTATGTCAAGTTATATTTGGATAGGTCTGTTTACTAAATTAGCCTGTCCAGTTTCATGTCCAACTTGCAATATGTTAGAATGCTATATTTTTATTATTATAAAATATCAAAATGTTCACCATGTCTGTTAGTAACAAGCTACATTTAACTAATTAATCCCGCAAAAAGGAATATGGCATCCTTATGCTGAATAATGTAGAAAGATAATCTAACTGAGGTGTTTTCTGATGTCTGACTGCTAGCTATGCAGTAAAATAAGATGTAGTAATTTTCTCAGATGGTGATGTATTGTTGCCCAATGAATTCGACTTTTTTCATTGATGCAGAGTTTTTAATGATCCTTAATGTGAGAGCTCAATATTTAGTCCCACATCGGATGTTCACATCCAAACAAAGGCTTTAAAAGAGATAACCTATGGAGTCAAGTGCAACATTAGTTGATTTTGGCAGTTGATCAAGCCACACAATGTGTGGGGTCCTACAACTTACACTGCTCCGACGGGCTCACAGGCCTGGGACGTGTCACTTAATATATATATAATACTAGAAAGTGATTTTGATGTACTTTTGACACAATCATCATAACACATGGTTTTGAGATAATATCGTCTCAAACAATCTGAAACATGTCATTCACGCTGATGCTTTATTCAGATCACTTGAACCTTAGATTTATCTTCTTCATGAATAAGGTGCATTTAGAACACAATCCTTTGACAATCCTTGGTTTTATTATATTTTGCATTTTTTGCTAACAGAATATTGTGAGAGATATGCAAAGAGGGAAAAGATCGATGATGCTTCTTCAGATGAGAGCAGTGATGGCGAGATAACTGACGATGGTAGCGGTTTTGATGATGATGACATTGCTGGAAATTCAGACCCCTAAATTAATGACAGTAGTGTGTACACATCTATCAGAGGATAACCTTTTACGTACAGCTCATCTATTCTTATGTAGGACCAACCCATAATTATAATGTACAATTGGCAAAATTTTAATGTAATACAATTAGGCGCGGCATACATGTGTAGAATTTTATAGCCATGTGTGCTGGCAAAGCATAGCAACTTAGAGGACGAATGTAAGTTGTTACTATTATTCTTTATGCATCTTATTTTCAAAGAACAGGCTACAATTCGGTGGAAGCGCGATATAAATATGGTACAGTTTTGAAGTATTTATTCATTTTTGCACCGAGATACTTAATTTGTCGATCTGAGGATCATAGACATTGCATTTTCATAAGGATGTTGTTGGTCTTTTCAGTTGAATTGCATTTGCATAAGGATGTTGTTGGTCTTTTCAGTTGAAGAATGTGATAGCATTGCATTTACTTTCTTATGCTTAGAATTTAAATTTAAGACAGTCTATCAGAAACTTATGTTATTGATGTCAAATTAGTGGTGAATGACGATAACAAGGAGAATTTTTATAAAAAAAAAAACCCTTTTTAAAGGATAGTTAGTTAAAACGACCGTTCTGCTAAGTATTTAGCAAAATCGACCTCTTTTTTGGGCAGCTCAGCAAGTCCGGCAAAAAAGAGGTTGATTTTACAAAATAGGATCTGGCAAACACAGTCCCATGTGCTTAGCTGCAGCGCTTGCTAATCTAAGTAGTGGATTATTATTCATAGGGCGTAAGAGGATGGTGATCGGTTTGTTGTGTATCTCGGCCTGTCCCTGGGTTGAGTTCTTGGTTGTGCAAGTCTCGATCGAACGTTCGATGTGCTGGGAAGTTCACTTCCCCAAGGCTAACTCCATCTGTTTGCGGACTCGGAATACACTGATGCCAGCTTTTCATATTTTGCAAAATCGATCTCTTTTTGGTCAGTCTTGGTGAGCTAGCCAAAAAGAGTTCGATTTTGCTAAACATTTAGCAAAACGGTCGTTTTTACTAAATATTTTTCAAGACGGATCTCTTTGAAAAAAATTCTCATAATAACAATAAGAGCAATTTTTTGATGAGTTTACCGATTGACTTTTCCCCTACGCCCTTGAGTTTGACATAATCTTAAGATACAGGCATCGTTGTCAATTCCCGAGTCTGCAAGTAGATAATCCTATCATGTAGAAAGTTTGACAATTGAGTTAATGTGAATAAAGTTTTGGAGTATTCACATATTGTCGCTTGTATATTATGTATTTTTCTTTCTAGTGTTTTCCCCCTCTCTACCCATGAGAATGCTTCAAACTTGCCGGATGTTTTTCGTGTTGGGAATTTAACGTCTAAATCCCTAATGCAACAGAAACGCAGAATAGAGAAAAGTACACAAGATTTACGAGGTTCGGCAACTGCCTACGTCCTCGGGAGCCACACAGTCAATTTCTTATTAATCAAACAAGAAATTACAAATCAAGAGCAGATCCCAAACTGAGATCTCTCAAATGAACACTGTACCTACAGTATTAATAATCAAAGGGAATAAACCCTTTCAATTTTCTGTCTCTCTCTTAAATCCCTTTTCAATCTCCCCTCAATACACGGTTGAGAGCTGGAGATGAAAAACCAAAATCGCTGCTGCGATTTCAAGGTTGGAGAAGAGGAACGCTGCTGCGTTTTGTGCCGCTGCCAGAGAAAAAATCAGAGGAGGAGAAGCGACAAACCCTAGGGCATCGAGGTTTGCTTTTATAGGCGAATACGATGGGCTGGCGACAGCCTGTCGCCAGCGCACAAGCTGGACGCGAAGGTCGGAGCGTCTGGACGCGATCGTCGGAGCTTGGACGCGAGGGTCGGTGTCCCAAACGCGAGGGTCAGATCCAAAAACGCGAGGGTCGCGTTGCCCACACGCCGAGGTCGGGAATCGCCAAAATTCGAACTCGCCTGCTCGAGCTTAACCTGGAGCTTTCGCCGTCGACTTCGCCTAAGTCGACGCCCACGCTCGCCTGCGTGGTTCTCAAGCTCGTCGGAGCTTCGCC